CTGAACCATTTCTATGTCTGGAGTTTGACTTTGCCGAATTCCGCCCCAATGTTTGTCAATAGTTTACGTCCTCTGATCTCTGAACCTGTGGATATAATCTTATTGACTCAAAATACCTATAACTAACTGTTTGGTATATTGTGACCGTTTAACGCTAACTGATATCTGTAATTGTATATACTGTTTGATTTACCCGCCCAAGTTGACCCAAGTCAGTGAGTCTACGGTTTTTGATATCATTTTTGTTTACTGTATTTGGCAGTGACACTACTGCTACGGATTTTTAATGTTGTTGTCAACGCCCTTCCTGTTGTGAATATTTTTCCTTTTGCTGGTGTTGTTCTGATTGCTTTATTCCTTGCTTTCCTGATTCTAAGGGGAGCAACCCATAAAGTCGCTCCTCTTTAAACTAGGTATTAATGTAACAACCCCTTTCCCAGCCATGAGGCTAGCAACCTCACTCTGTTAACAAAGCTAGTACAGAAACTTCAGTATGAGTCTCCTTGCGACAAATGAAAAAGTCTACGTGGTTGGGAGCAAACCAACCAGAAACTGATTGTGTAACAAATAAGCATGAAGAAATGGAGGTGGATTGGTTACATTCTGAGAAAACCATGAAGTGACATCCTACGCTAGGTCATCGCTTGAGTGGAACCCGAATGGGAAGTGGCGAGTTGGTCGCCGGTTTGAGAGTGAGGTCATATGGAGGATGTCATATGAAAATATGAAAGCATCTGGACAGACGTGGATCCAGGTGGGAACGCTGACAGAGAACCGAACGCAATAGAGACGTGCGGCCGAAGTGCTATGTTCCTCCAGGAACTATAAGAAACCATAATAATAATAATCTGGTCTCTGGTCTTCAATATTTCTCTAATTAATATCAAGTCGTTATCATACTTAAAACAAATTGTATACATTTCTTCGCCAAAGGACTGAAAACAATAACCAAAAAGCAGAACATAGAAATACCATATTTGACTCACTTGTGTAAATGCGTAACCTAACGGTTCTTTATACGATACAACAGCTTGTGACTTATTCACATCAGTTGGATCAGGGAAAATAAAATACGGTGAATTGTCATTTACATCTAAGATATGTATACGCACTAGTACATTTTCAGATAACTTTGGAACGCCTTTATCTTGTGCTTGTATTGTTAAGACAATATTTGGCGTAAATAAGGAATTATTGATTGACTTTACATAATGATCCACTTTGAGTGTAGTACCCATGTATCTAACTGATTTAAAATCAGATGGTGTTTCCGGGATAGTAGTTGATTCCTCAATGAGACTCTCACGATTAATCACAGAGTTTGTATACAACTTTATCTCATAATAGGCTTTTCTGCTGGTAGATGATGAGGCGTTTACCCGCTTTGAAACTAGTTGGAACTTTGGAATGTATTCAATATACTTTTTTTGATTCAAATCAGGCAAAATCGATAGCTGTTTAGCATTAGGCTTTCTACTGATTACACTTTTCTTGATCCTTATCTCCAACTCTGAATTTTCACCTATATCATTATCTGTAACATAAAAGCTTCCGATCAATTCTCCTATTAGATTGTTTTCTGATAGGTAAAAATCATATGAAGGCTTAGAAAAAACTGGAGCGTTATCATTGAAATCTAAAATTGTTACATCGACTTGAGCTGAAGTTGAACGTTTACTCTGCTCACCGTCATCTGAACATAATACAAGGATAGAGAATCTGTCAGATAATTCACGATCCAAGTTGCCTAGAGAATGTATCCATCCTGTAACCGGGTTGATTGTCACCAAATCTACCTGGGAAATCGGTGTTGTCTGAACAATACTGAAGTGTAGTTTTGCATTACGACCTTCATCTTTGTCTGTTGCTATAAGCGATATGATTTCAAAGTTTTCTCGTGCTCTATCAGGACTTGTATCTTCCAGTATCTTAACTGTGTAGACACTTTGATTAAATACCGGATCGTTGTCATTGATATCAATTACTTTTATGTTTTGTGTTGTGTTACTTGATAAGGGTGGGTTTCCGTGATCCCAACAGTAAACAGTAAATTCGATAGCTGGATATTCTTCTCTGTCTATACTTTTCAACAAAGAGAGTTTATATTTCTTATTAGATATTGTTAAATCATTGCTGACAAGTCCAGCATTCATTGGAGTAAGGATCAGAGCATCCGAAAGAGTTTGATTTGTCAATTTACAGTTCACTTCAGCATTTTTCCCCGTATCCCCATCTGAAACATCTAGAATGCCAATATCTTGACCAGGCGGAGATTCTTCTATTATTTCTAGAGATTTTGAACCTGTAGGCGACAAAATTCGAATCCTTGGATGGTGATCATTTGTGTCAATCACATTGACAATAACCTGAGCTGTTGATGACTTCGATTGAGTCTGCAGAGATTTCATATTTCTCGATAGAGTATTATCAGGATTCTTAGCAAATACTTTCAGTACATGTTGAGGTTTCAGTCTATGGTTTAAACGTCGTTGAAGCCTTATTTCACCGGTATCTTCATGAATATAGAAAAGATTGCTGTCATCAGTGTTATCCGTATATGAATCGATGCTGTACAAGACTTTCCCATTTTCCCCGTGGTCTGCATCATTCGCTGTAACCTTTACAATCGTCTGGCCAATGATCGTGTCTTCACTAACATTCGCGACATACGTGGACTGATCAAAAACTGGCATATGATCATTACAGTCTTCGACGAGAACAGTCACATTTAGGTGACACTGATGTCCACCTGATGGAAAGCCATCATCAGCAACGATTTCGAATGTATAATTTTGCCGACTTTCATAGTCCAACGCTCTAATCAGTTCCAGCTCAAGTTTAATATTCGCATAATTCGAAGATGAAAGACTATGTAGTTTGAATGTGGCATTTATATTCCGGTTATCCAAAGAAGATAAATTACTAGGCCGATCATGGATCCATACAAGATCAGATTTAACAGTATTTCCTAAGACTGCATCGTCTGGATCATATGGGGTATTCAGTGGTAGTCGTGTCTCGTGAATCGGTGAATCTTCACGTATTCGAATGACCTGTTCACTTGATGGCACAAATTTACATCCGTTATCATTAATATCCCTGAGTTCAACGACAACATCGAAAATGGTTACCAGCTTATTACTTACAGGCGTTCTACTTTTGTTCTGATTCCCAAGATTTTTAATCGGTGTTACATTTAAACAATTCACACTAAAATATAATTCACAATTTGTATACTGATTCACTTGAGAATTCCATCCTTCTTTCAGTTCCTTTGAAACTGTTTTCTGACTATTCAGAACATCAGGGCGGCATAGTGTTTCCCTGTCCAACTGCTTAGCTACCAATATATCTCCATTAATTTGATCTACAGAAAATAGCTCCGAAAAGTCATCAAGGCTAGAGATTTTAAAAAAGTTTAGATTTGTGAATCCTCCATATACATGTTTCAGTAAACTGCCAATTTTTGTACCAGCTGGAATTTCTTCATCCGCATGAAAGTGAACAGTCCGTGATTGAGACAAATGAATCCACAGTGCCATTATTATTGTTATGCTAAATTGCTGATTATATACAAAATAGCCTGGGGTTTCAATTAATCCAATATTGTGCATAACATTAGAAAATTCTTCATATACAAATTGAGGATCTAAGGATATACCGCAGGCTTCATTTCTGTGGCTTACAAAACATTTTCTGTCATTCAGAATGTTAGAAGCATCACATCTGTCAATGTTAGAAAAAAGTAAAACAAAAAGAAATTAAAAATTTTAAGTAAAAATTAAATTAACCAGCAAGGCTAAATCAAGGTTTTGTCGTTTTGAGGAAATACCTAAATCTGATTGGTAAGATTTTCAGCAAATCATATCTATAGTGGGTGGGAAAAACAAAAATGGCAAGCCCCTATCCAATAAACTATTACCAAAGGTAAATTTATGGAGCGAACATTTTGCTTAATCAAGAGTATAATTTAAGGGTGTTAATTCTCATCTACGTCGGTCGTAAAGCGGTAGAATGCTCATCATCCGCACTTGTAGTCCAAAGTTCAATCTCTAGCCGATGTACTTTTTAACTGAGCTTAGTTTAATAGCCTGTTGTAAAACTCGAACAGATTGAGGGCTTTGTTTGAGGTTACGAACCCTACCCTATAAAATTTAGAGCTTGGCTACTGATACTTCAAGGCTTCAAGCCTACAGTTCTGTGTTTCACTCAGAGAGAAAGGGAATGAAGAAAGATATTTCATTCAGTAAAGCGACTAGTGCCTAAATCATAAATTGTTCTTTTAATCGTTATCATGACCAGTACTATCTGCCGACTATGATAACGTTCGTTTGACTATAATTTAATAAAATTTGTAGACTGAAATGTTTACGGCTCACTTCAGTTGTTGTGGCAGATTCCTAGCACTTCCATGACTTATTTTCTCATTTCTTTGACAAACTGGGCAGCCTTCCCACGTCCCTTTCCCTATTTTTGTCCTCATCGAAGTAAGACATACCAAACGGCTTTCTGATAGCATCCACCAGCCTATGTCACTTCGTTTTCTATATTTTTGTTGCGCATTAAAGTTTCTATAGCCATTCGACTGATTTTACGAGATAAGGTTGTTAACCAAAGAATTGCCAAAGCAAAAACTATATTTGAATATGGACTTCATGCGAGACTTAACTTCAGATATCCTAAAGACGAGAATCTCTAGTTCCCTAAAGAAGACCTGTCCCACAGGAACTCTAAGAATGATATTCTCTAACCGCCTATTGCTTCTGAGCAATACAAAGGAGAGACTTCAGCTTATAACCACTTCAGTGTGCATATATCAGTTCTAGGTCCTTCTATGTCGGTTTTATCAGAAAGCGTTAGAGGAAATTACGCAGCATGGCTACAAAGAGGAAGGCACTGATTCAGTCGGAAGCACCATAATTTAACACTTAGTCACCACCCGTCGCAGCATCTCAACTGACTCCTCATTCGGAATCAATAACAAATTGAACAGTAATCTTCCAAAGGCAGTATGTTTGTGATTTATTTGTACTGCTAAATTCCTCACCATATGAATTTTTTTTGATTACAGCTTTATTCCACACAGTATTTTGGTACTGGTATGGAATTTTCAGCATGTGATATCGGTAGTCCAAATTTTGCAGGTCGACCATAGATATTAGATGTGGGTCGGCAGGGGATCGAACCCTGGACCATCTGCATGGTCGGCGAGAGTCCTAACCACTGTGCCACCGACGCATAGAGCTTTGTGTTTCTAAAGAAAGTAGTCTAACCCCTATATTTACCATGGGTCTGCCACTTCACATAACTCAGGTATAGGCGTTAAGTCATTTTGACTGCACGTGTGTGGTGTTTAATCAATAAAAACGTTTCAGTGATTAACCTCTCTGCATCTCCACCTAACTATTCTACACGTAAATACTTTCACCCTGCCTCAGCCAACCTATTTTGTGATTACATGCAAGTGAATGCGATGTGATGCAATGCTTGAGCTTTTCTCTAGCTTATTTAAGTTACCCGGGTGAGTCATTTTACGTCTAGCTAGCTACAATTATGTTTCAATAATCTAATTGACTCCAATCTGCTAGTGTGTCAGTGGCATAGCGGTTAGGATGCTAGCCAACCATGCACATGGTCCGGGGTTCAATCCCCTACCAACGCACACCTGATATCAATGGTTGGCGGGCAAAATTTGGGCTACATACATCATATGCTGAAAATTCCATACTTGTCCCAAAAAAACTTTGTGGAATCAAGCTATAATCAAAAATATAAGAAGTAGTTGCAGTTATGTAATTGACCTCACAGTCAGCATTACATGGTATTTGCTAAATTATATTAATCTTCTTCATTAGATCTATTGGGTCCTTAAGCCTAAACATTTTATCTCAGAGGTGGTTGGTCGGTTGGTTTAAATGCCACCCTAGTTCCAGGGTCATTGAGAATCCCACGTAAGGTCTCTGAGGCTCCTTCTTTATACGGCACTAATACAGAAGGTATGAATTCTATTTTATTCACGTCATTTTTATTCCTAATCTATTTTTTTCTATGGATACTCATACATTTCTGAATAAATTCCGGTGGGTAGTTAGTTATTCACTAGTAATATTTCCTTTATTTGTTTGATTTTGATTATTTAAGTCGTCTGACTTACTAGTTATGCTCTTGACCCGATTATACAGACATTTAACTAAACCTATCATTACCGATTCTGGATGGGGTGATTCAAAGTCTAAGTATTTATTAGAGTGTGTATCGGTTTCCTACAAATGTTAGATATCTAACCCAACATCTCTTTTTCGTTTTATTCTACAGTCTAGTCTAGCATGGCCAACTCACCCTGTTCATTTCCTAACTCAGAAGTGAATTGGATTCCGTCTAACATATGTATGAAAAACTGAGAGGTATGTTGTGATTTCAATACAGTGAATGTGTCATCGCATATCTTCACCATAACCTAGGAGTGGGACTAAACTTGCTAAGATTTGGCGACTGCCAGTAAACATATGATAATTTTATTCCTGATTATTAATAGCACTAAGAACCCAGTATTCAGTGAAGAATCTCTCCTCAATAGTTTCGTGATTAAGCTGCACAATATTAATGTCAGGAAAAAGCTTGTGCATTGTGAAATAGATCAAATAAAGTATAATAAAGTATATTGCACTGGTTTACATACAATGATGTGCATCGGTGGCATAGCGGTTAGGACGCTCACCGACTATGCACACGGTCCGGGGTTCGATTCCCGGTCACCGACGCACTCCTTTACCTCGCTAAGCCAGAGCTAAAATTCTGGTGAAGAGGAAAGTTTGGGCATGAGGCTAGCAACCTCATCCTGTAAAATAAGCACTGCTACAGAAACTTCAAGCCACCAGCTTAAAGCCCTATGTTCCACTGGGGAACGTAAAGGAAATAAGAAAAGAAGAAGACATACAATGATAAGTTGTGTTATTGGTAATATTTCGAGCAGAATTACTGCCCGTGTTCACGCCACTGTTGGAATGCTTTTCTTTTTAATTCACACATTTATGATGTGTACTCATATATATAGTTCTTTTTTGTGTATTCAGAATTATATTCCAGGTTGTTGACAGTTGTACTGAGTCACGCTTGTTATATGTGTCCGGTGTGACATTGATGAATATAGATTCTAGACTTAGGTCAATTTAAAAAGACATATTGTAGGTCAAAATAAAAATGAAGATCACTGAGACAAATAACACGGGTAATAGTACATCTGCTATGGTATCAAAACAAAGCAAAGTTTAACAAGAAGGTTTAATGTGATGACGAATTGTTGCTTTGGATGCATAAAGGTGGTTTAATCTTCCTAATTGCCAGCTAGGGCGAATCCCAATATTTTTGAGGTTTCTTCGAATTGCCTCTGATGGGCTATTGTTGTACGGTATCGTGACTGTAATTTTTGCCATCCTCCCGTTTTACCCACATTTTTTCTATTTTTTATGTTATCTTTGATAAATTCTTTTGGGTAATTGTTGTCAAGCAAAATTTTGAATAGGGCATTTATTTCTTTACACTGGTCCTCTGGTGCTGTTGTTAGTCTACGTATTCTATCTGCAAGACCTTGTACTAAACCTCGTTTTACCGTGAGTGTATGAGGTGAATGGTTATCAAGGAATCTTTAAGAGTGTGTAGTTTTTTCCATATAGCATCGTTTTTATGCTACCATCTGTTACTCTTTGTATTTTGTAGTCTAACATATGCAGTTCCCCAATTTCATTCTCTATTTCCATTGTGAATTTTATTGAGTCGACATGACTGTTTATGTGTGAGAAGAGTTTCTCAACATCTTTTCTTTTCTCACTATTAGTAATGTGTTGTCTACACATCTTCACCAATATTTTATTGATGACCTGAATGGTTTAAGGGCATTCTCTTCCCAAAAATCCATGAATATGTCAGCTGTTATCGGTGAAATTATCTGTCTGTCTATAAGATTTTAAGGAAATCGAATCGTGTGGCAAAATGAAAACAAAAGACGAATAAATTAAACAGAGGGGAATAAATAATAACAGAAACTGTTCAAAGTGAAAGAAAAGAATTAACAATCTTTTTAATAATTTAATAATTCCCATTTTAGCATTGAGAACACAATATTCAGCGAAGAGACTCTTTTCAACGAATTTATTATCAAGCTGTACAATCGTTTATATATGGTTTTTAAGAAGTCATATCCGATGAGGGAATTAGGTCAAAGGTGTGAATACATGAAATAATAAAAGTACGAAATGCAATTAAAATAGTTGTGATTATAATCATTGTTTAATGTCAAGTGGCAAAATAATTAATGTCATATATGCAATAATACATAAGGTGTATAGGCTTAGTAGGCGAATATAAAATGTTACATAACATGGTGTGAAATTTGATAAGATAGAATTCAATATTTTAAAGATAAAAATATAAAAATTAATAATTTTGGGTTTAAAATGTGAAGTGGGTCAAGTGGAAAAGATTCAGAGTGAGAATAGTAATAATAATAATGATAATAATAATAATCGTAGTAATAAGGGAAAGG